GTGGACAGCGGTCTCGGAATGTGTGTGTGTGTGTGTGTGTTTTACTTTTTATTGCAGCATAAAACATGTACATAGAAAAGTATCTAAGATGTACCTGTACTCTTTGCTAACTACTTAAACAAATAGTCCAGTCTAGGAAATACAATATATCAGCTCCCCGGAAGCCCCCTGTGTGCACCTCTCCCCCAGAGATAACCACTGTCTTTACTTGTGTTAGTCATTTGTCTTGTTTTTCTTTATAGTCACCACTACTTATTTATGCATTTCTAAACAATATAGTTTGATTTGGTCTGGTTTTGAATTTTATCAGAAGAGAATCATAATCTAGGTGTTTTTTTATGCCATGGTTCCTTTGCTTAACCTTACAATTGTGACAATTTCCGTGGTGTTCGCTCATTTACATCACTGTTTAGTATCCCGATGTATTTATCCGTTATCCGGGGGCCCCTAAGCAAACATTTGTCGAGGGTATATTCCTGGAATTGCTGGGCGATACAGTTTATATATCTTCAGCTTTCCTCTATAATTCTAAGCTTTCTTTCAATGTGATTTTACATCTTAATTAGAGCCCATCTGGTCAGTTTATCTGTCATCTCAATTTTCATTTTTCTAATTGCTGATGAGGTTGAGCACCTTTTCCTATGTCTACTGGCCTCCATCATTTCTTAATTTAATAATCAACATCTCACTAACTGGGATTTTCTCTCTCTCTCTTTTTTTTTTTTTTTTGTATGCCACATTCTTAGGCAGCAAGTAGCTGACCATTTTCCAATCAATTTGGAACGATTTCATTGCAGTGATTATAAAACTATCATATCAACTTTGCTTCAGTTTTAACCAGTCGTTGAAGCAGCCTCCAAAAGATGGAATGTTGGGGGGGAGGTGGTTGTTACATCTACTGCCTGACATGATAAAGAAATGTTTTCAAATCCCAGCCTGTATCTAGTCCTTCAACTTACCATGGTGAAGTTGTACAAGGATAAATGATGACACTTGAACTCATCTGCCACAAAAAGAAGCCTATTTAGTGCAGAAATTGAGGACTTAAGATTCATCAATGCAGGGCATTATGATAGTAGCTTCTTGAGTTGGTTTCTATTTTCTGAGTGGAATTACAGCCTTTGATATTTAGGGTAACACTAGTATTCTCTTCTTCTAACTGAAAGAGCCCTAGAATGTCAGAATAAGAAAGATGTAGTGTGCTATTCTGTTTCTTATAGAGGCATTCATTAACTATTTACCTCCCATGCCCCAAATGGTCAAGGGCAAGCTACACTGTCACTGATAAAGAGCATTTTCTGAAAGAGTCTCTATTTTGCAGAAATGTGCCCTGCTCTGCATAACCTTGAGTGTGCAGAGTGGAGCCTCCCTGTACCTGGCGCTAATCTTTTAATCCTCTTAGATCATTTGGTTTATTGTCCTAATCTACCTGCTTTCATTGTCTTTCTATTGCAACTCAAAAAGAATCTAGCAAGTACTAGAAAATATTTTTATAAAAGGAATTTTGGATTGCTAATTGCAGTAGATATAAACTTAAATGAAGCTGTTTTCATTTCTTTCTCAAATTCCATGGATGTATATCCATCTTCTAGGGGTTTTTTTCTCCTTTATGAAAAAGAGATTTCCAAGACCAATGCACCAAATAAGTATGCTATTAAAGTACGTAACTCTAGAGGATACACATGAAAGTCAAACTATTCAAAGTGCATAATTGCACAAACAGCAAAGAACTTGTTCAAAGGCCTGTATCTTATGGGGGCTTTTTGTTTATTTTGCTTTTTCCTGTCCTTTTCAGAGTGAATACCGGACATACCAGGGAGCACTAAATTCAGTCTATAAAGGAAAAACACTTTGTGTGAAATGTGATGTAAAAACAACTAGCCAATTGTCACTTAGATGAAAATAAAACCAATTGTTTGGCCCAAATGGAATAATAAATTCAGTCAGAACAGTTGCTTCGTCTGGCTATTGTCTAAGTGTCTTCGAGAAGCATATTAGAGAAGTAGAACAGCCTCAACTATGTTAAGACATTTACTCTTTATCAGAGGTGTCTGCATGAGGCAATCTTCCTAAATGGGTAACTACTTTTAGATTTCTAGCAAATGTTTCTGACAAGGAGAGTTTTACTTTATTTTGTATCACAATATGTTGAACTATTCTTTTGAAATCCATTTCACGTTTAAAGGAGACACAATACTCAATACAATATTCCTAGTACCTAGCACAGTGGTAAGCACTTAGGACTAACATTCACATTTTTGTTGAATAAATAAATGAATTTTGTAGCTTATAAGATACTTCATTTTGAAGGTTTAATTTGAAAAGTATGGCATACTGATTGTTTTCAAATAAAGGTATATCAAATTTTCAGTTTAGTCAAGTTAAAGTTTTGCAACCAAGATGGGTCTAAAAGCAAAACAAGAGAATCTCTCCTGTAGTTTCTCTCCAATAGCCAGCATAAGCTTCAACAATCCAGTCAGTAGATTTTAAATTACAAAAATAAAGACTGAAGCCTTATCTCTCTCATTTATTTGAGGGGGGAGGAGTCTCTGTAATAAGATTTATAGGAAGGAAAAGTTAGCCCCCTTATCCAAATGCAGAGGGTATAATGGAAAGAACATAGAGCCTCTAGCCCCCATTCCCATTTATTCAACAAATATCGATTGAAAACCTATGTCAGGCATTGTGTCAAGAGCAAGAAAAGTAGAAAAAAAAAGGAAAAGAAAAACAAGCAAAAAACCCCAGCTCTGGTCAATCTTACATTTGTTTTGAGTGTTCCATTCAGTCTTGTGTTCAAAACTCATTTTTACCACTTACGTGACTTGATAGAAACTAAGGTCCTAAAGTCTCAACCCAACCTGTCATTTGCCGACTTTTGAAAAAGAAACAGATTTTTAAAATATTGCCCTGTATCTTAACTTTCCTATATGAAAAACAACAGTCCAACCTGCATCCTAAGTGGCAACTCACCCCCAGTGTCAAGGAGAAATTAAAGAGTGGTGGGAATTGTGTCAGATACTAGAGGTCGTGGCCCAGGGGAAGGAGGTGGGAAGCTCACTACTTAGCTCCTGCCACATGGATATTACAGGTCCAGTGCTACAATCCTCTCCATTTTTCAACTTTTCAGAAATTTAGATTTATGTTTTAGTGTTGGAGAAAAAAATTTTAAATTTTAAACACTCTGCAAAGGCAAACAAAATACATTTGTTTTGAATTAGTTGACTGAGTAAAACAAGATCATCTTCATCAATGTGGGTGGGCAACCCCGTGAGCCAATTTCTGAAATCAATCAATCAATCCTAGTTGTATTTTTCTGGAGAACCCTGTCTAATACAAATTTTGGTATTTTGATGAGATGAACATTTGAAATGGTGGGCTCAGTGAAGTAGGTGACCCTCCCCAACATGGGTGGGCATCATCCAATTCATTCAGGGTCTGAATAGAACAAAAGGCAGAGGAAGGAGGAATCCATCCTTTTTTTTTTTTTTTTTTCCTGCCTCACTGATCAAGCTGGGACATCTCATCTTCTTCCCTTGAATCTGCTCCCCAGATTTTCAGGCCTTCAAACTGGGACTGAATTACATCAACAGTTTTCTTGGCTCTCCAGTTTATAGATCATGGAACTTTTCAGCCTCCATAATGACATGAACCAACTTCTCATGATAAATATAGCTAGATCTACATCTACATCTACATATCTACAAACACATCTACATCTATAAATCTACAGATGTAAATATACAGATGTAGAAATAGATCTAGATATAGATCTCCTGTTGGCTTTGTTTCCTTGGAGGACCCTGACTAATACAGGTTCTTTTCTAACTAAAGTAAAAATGTCGCACATCAGGCTGACTCTGGCCAACCCAGGGAGTTTGCTGATTTCCTGTCTCCCAGATTGCATTACCTCATATAGTGACTATCAAAATCTCATTTTCACCACTGTTTCACTCTGAACATCGCACATTTTGAAGTTCTTAATTAATTTTTGGTTTAAAAGGAGCATGTTTAGGGGCTCCTGGTGGCTCAGTTGGTTAAGTGGCTGCCTTTGGCTCGGGTCATGATCTCAGGGTCCTGGGACAGAGCCCTGCATTGGGCTCCCTGCTCAGTGGGGACCCTGCTTCTCCCTCTGCCCCTCCCTCCATTCATGCTCACTCTCTCTCTCTCTCTTTCTCAAATAAATAAGTAAATGATCTTTTTTTATTTTAAAGGAGCATGTTTACCATTCTTCTTTATACATATGTGTTTAACTAAAACCTGGTCCTGAACTTACCCTTTTTTCAATTTCAGTTGATCCAATACTTACCTGAATTTGATTACTGAAAGAACAGCTCAAGCAAGAATAACCATTCCTAATCACTGCCAACTGCTTAAAAAAATTCAAAGTATTTCAAATCAATGACCTGAAATGACACTTAATAACTAGGATTTCTGACAGCCTACAAGAATAAAAAGGTTTCTTTTCTTGATCATTACACCACGTCTGTCTGTATGATGGTGAAATGGGAAGGGTTTCAATGACTCAGTTTTGTGAAACACCAAAGGGGGACAGGGAAGACAAGCGAGCACAAGGAAACTAAGAAAGATCTATGAACTTCCTTATTTCAAAGAAGCAGAAGCGCTGAGAAATGGAAGCCAATCTCCATATTATCCAGAGGACTTTCAGCTGTCTGATACTTTTTGAAACTGATGAAATCATTTATTAATTTCCAGAAGAGCAAACTCTCTCTCGGTCATATATTCTGTAATGGAAAGATGGAGGGATATGGATAAATCAAATGGGAAAGAATCAGTAGGATATTTTTTTAAAGTACATGCTTGGCTTTGGCAGGAACCTCAAGCTTTCATGTAGTAACATTATATTTCCTTTCCTAATCAAATCTGGATTAGTGGAAATGAAAATTAGTTTCTGTTTCCTAAGCCACTGAGAGCAAAGGAGGATGGCTTAGAGCATTCTTCTGGCTAAAGCGATTGCTGTTTAACCAAGGGCAAGCCACAAAGCAGAATCCCACAGCCCAATAATCTGGAGCTCAATTTAACACACATTCTGCATAAAAGAAATCCAACACTCATGACTGAGAGAACCCAACTCAAAAGCAATAGCATCACCTTCCTTCACTCCCACCAAGTGAAAATAAACTGGAGAGTGGCTAGGCTCCAAAACAGTGAGTTGCTAATCATCATGGTTTTCGCCTCTTTTAGAGGAAATGGTATGTAATCCAACGCCTGCATGTGCCTTTTCAGGAAATTGCTCATCTGTCTAATTAAGCTCTTCTTTCTCCACAGGTCTGCAGATACATTGAACAGACGTATGGCTTCCAGAAAACCTTCTTGCCCTCTTTCCATTGGTCACTGGAAATTTCTGATGTGATGGAATCTCCTTAAAGTGGATATTTTCTTTTTTTTTTTAATCTCCATTTTAAGGAGATTCCATCACCTTGTATTAATTGCTGGCTACACTTCACTGACCCTTCATTAGAAAGTGTCATTTCCTATCGGGAAGCACTTTTGAAAAAACATAAATTAAAAGGCTTAAGAGATGATGCAGATGATTTCGTCAACCTTGTCACCGTCACGGAACATCTCACCGCTCACCGACTCCAAGTTCATATGTGCTCAGGTAAGAATGTTCCAGCCTGTTTATTTGTTTTTCCAGTGGAATAGTTATTGTACTTTGGCCTCTGTTCCTTTCTTAACACACCACAGAGAACCGGCCCTCTGTCCTATCTCCCACCAAAGAACCTTGCTTTATTTCCTGTCCTTGCCAAGTTAGTACAACCTACTTCACTTCTGCCACAATAATTTACCGTTTCCTTCCTTCTAAGTCCGCTTCTTCATTCCAGCTTCAATTAAAGAACAATGTAACAGACATTTATGGGGTCCAATGTCAGATCCTGGGGACATGAAACAAAATAAGACGAAGGTTTTGTCCTCAAGAAGCTTGCAATCCAGGGCGCCTGGGTGGCTCAGATGGTTAAGCGTCTGCCTTC